GACAAGATGTCAAGAAATGAATTGAGCTTGCCTACCGATCAATCTTTCTTTTGGACTGACAGCACTTGTTTTTTGCGCTACATTGAAAACACGACCAAGCGATTTCAGACGTTTGTCGCAAATCGAATAGCGACAATACATGATGCATCGACCCCAAGCAATGGATTACGTGGACACTTGTTCAAATCCTGCGGATGACGCATCAAGAGGCGTGCCGGCAGACTCTCTTCTGCGATGGATCAAGGGTTTCCGATTTCCTTACTAAGCCACCCGGAGAATGGCCAAAGAGACCTGAAGATCTGGGATCAACCACGGCGGTCCTAGACGACCCCGAAGTGAAGCACGGTTCGTTTGTTTGCGCTGCCAGCATAGCGCACGTTTCTAAGAAACAGTTTACGGATCAACTAATGAAAGTTTTCATCGTGGAGCAGATTAAGAAGAGTATTCGCCTTATACTACGCTATAAGAAATCTGCGTTCGCGTACCCGATCTCAACAGAAAGATCGAGCGGAATCCCTACCATCAGCAAATATCCCACCATCAGTTTGACAGAATTGGTCAATGCCGAACGTGCAGTTTTGAAACTCGTACTCTTCAACTCGACATCTTCAAAGTAAAAGATACAACAACTCGGTTAGCAATGCTAGCAGTATTGCAAAACTGGACCCTATCCTAGTCGACGGCCTCATTCGAGTCGGAGGTCGTATCCAACGAGCACAAATCAGCGATGACGCTCGTCACCCAATTATCCTTCCTAAAACCCACCACGTGGTCACCCTAATCACCAAACATTACCACCACGTCTCTGGTCACTCTGGCATAGAATACACGTTATCTTTAATAAGAGAGCGGTTTTGGATAATCAAGGCACGGGCTACAGTTCGAAAGATATTGAATGCGTGTGTTAGTTGCAGAAAAAGACATCTCCTGTCGTCGAACAAAAGATGGCAGACCTCCAGCAGATCGCGTAACCTACGGAAAACCCCCATTTTCCTTTACTGGTGTAGGTTGCTTCGGCCCGTTCTCCGTACGCCGCGGAAGAACGAGTACGAAACGATATGGTATTATCTTCACCTGTTTAACAACTCGAGCAATCCATGTAGAAGTAGCAAATTCTTTGGATACAGAATCCTTCATAAACGCTTTACGAAGATTCATCGCAAGACGAGGCCAACCTGAGGAAATGCGGTCGGACAACGGAGGTAACTTCGTAAAAGGCGAAAAAGAACTTCGGCAAGAAATCGAAAAATGGAACCAAAATCAAATCCATGACTTCCTCGTGCAACGCAGCATTAAATGGACATTTAACCCACCTGCAGGCTCACACCACGGCGGGGTGTGGGAGCGATGTATAAGAACAGTTCGAAAGGTAATGAGAGCTATTACCAAGGAACAGTTACTCGATGACGAAGGCCTAACACATTATTGATGTGCGAGGTCGAAGCTATTGTCAATGGACGGCCATTGACAAAGTTGTCAGATGACCCCAACGATCTGAAACCCCTAACCCCCAACCATCTTCTATTGCTCCGAAGCGGAACAAATTTACTACCTGGAAATTTCTCAAAGGACGACTGCTGCAGCACGAGGCGATGGCGACAAGTACAGTATCTGGCCAATGTATTTTGGAGGCGATGGATTAGAGAGTATTTACCATCATTGCAAGAACGGCAGAAATGGCTTAAGAAACGACGGAATCTAGAAGTTGGTGATATTGTCTTAATCCTCGATGAGAAAACTCCACGCTGCAGCTGGCCAATGGGACGCATCCTCGACGTCTACACCAACCGTCGGGATGGTCTCATGCGTTCTGTGAAAGTGAAGACAAGCTTATCGGTCTTGGTTCGACCAGTGGACAAGATTATCTTCCTGGAATCTGAAACTGCTCCAACAGACGATAAGTAGAAAATAATTAAGATTTAATAGACGGCGATAGCCAGGAGCAATATATACAAATATACACATATTAGATTAAATGCTAGTTGAGATTTATCATAAAGTTTCGAACCCATATAATTTTTGGTAAAGGCTTCAACATCGCCTTTAAGGGGCCGGAATGTTGGTTTCGAAACGGAAGGTCGTTCAAGTTGCTATTTTTCTGGCAAAAACAAGTTGTTATTTTCCATTTCAGCGCGAAGATTTACATTAAATGCGTAAATTTGGTTAGCAAATGCGCAATGCGGTTGCCTTGCCTAGCCACGCTATGTCCGTCACAAACACACTGCGTTTCTATGTTTTGAAATCCGGTTCATGCTACACAAAAACATTCTACTTCTACACTCATTCTACGCTGAGTCTCGAATGTGGACGCTTGCAAGAAAGCAAAGGTTTATGCTATTCTATTCGCATTGCGAGACAAAAAATTCTATCTTTATTCCACCTCAATCAAAGCTATATCTACGCGCATGATAGTTAAAGTTGGTGCGTCTGCAAACCAAAGTAAGTAAATAGATAGTACGTTGTTTCAGTTAGCAATTGTCGCACTAAGTGTTTCGATAAGCGCTGCTAAAATCGGTTTAGTTGTTATATTGTATTGCATGCTAATTCTTAGTTTAATAAGTATATCTCGTTTATGTCAATTATCAAGTATACTCCTATTAATTTCATGTGACAGGTTACTATAGTTTGTCTGCTTATCATATTTTAGTTCGAACCGACGCAATATTCTCAATCGACTTATTCGACCCAAACCTGTATATATCCTGTTAATAAATTATCAAAATTCCTACGTCGAGTTCGTTTCATTCTACGCACCGCGTCTACCCCTGTAGATTTATTGGGAACTCGTTGACATTGAATTTCTGTCCCAGTGAAGCTAAAGATCTAACCATGTTACACTATGGTATTTCTTTACTTTTCAATAACTTATTGTTGTAGTTCTTTGTAACATGTGATGTTTGCATGTCATTACTTTCTTACCTTAACGGAAGCCCAAATTGATTTGTGATCACTAAAGTACGTTTCAAGAGTACCTGCTTGAACATCTTCTTCAATCAAATTCGTATACACATGATCAATTAATATCCTATTATCTGTTGTACAGCTAGATATAAGTTGGTCAAGGCCAATTTCATTGATCATAAGGTTGTACAATAATCTTCGTTCTATCTCATCAAGCCAATTAACATTAAAGTCTCCAATGATTATAACTTGTGTAGAACGATTTTCCTCCAAAGTGGCACGAATGGCAGCCAAAAGAGGTGATAATACAAGTCTTGGAGATTTGTATATTCCAATTACAATTAAGTCTGGGCGTTGGACTGTCTTTATTATAGTTAACTCGATCCCATGACAGTTTTTCGCACAAGGGTATCCAATCATCATGGGAATTTTGGAATAAATAGCTGTTCCGTGATATGGACGGTTAACATTTGAAATCTCGTCATTTCTAAATAACTCATAACCTTCAATTGCATACATTTCATCAGGATCTTGTGAACTAAATCTTGTTTCAGTAAAATTAGGATGTCAGCTGAGGAATAATTAATATCTTTTCGTACATCTTCTATGTGCTTGTGCAGATCTTGCATTTAGATGACAAATTTTGATATCAGTGTGATTCAGCATGTACAAAGGAGTAAAACAAAGATCTAATTTATACTCATTTCTCAGCGATTGCATTTCTTGTACGACTTTAGGATCAACAGAAATCTTACTTTCGCAGAGATCAGTTATATATAGCCCTTCGATTGTTGTTACTCGGCTTAGAGCGACGTAATGAATATGAAGAATTGCTCTTCTCGTATTCAAATTAACGACGATTTGTGATTGAGTATCACCTTGTGATCTATGAACAGTTTTAGCCGACGCTGGTCTTAAGGGAAATTGCTTTCTTACCACTTGAGCAGACTTTGTTTTACCTACAGCAAATTGCGTTGTAACCGGTTTAATAGGTGTCCAACTACTTAGTATGCATGTACCTCCCGCATATAAGATTCTATTTTCTTGTCGGGTTTTTTCCCCAACATCTTCGCTGTCAAATTGAACCCAGACGAGGCCAGGGGGTTTGGTATCATTGGTCAATTGAATATGTTTAATGACATTACTTGCGCCGTTTGTTAGTCCATCATCAGTGCGTATATTGACCGCAAGTTCTGTTCGTTGTCCGACTGCAATATGTAGCTTATAAGCCAACTGTTTTGAATTTTTGAAAGGAACATGTGGTATTTGTCTGATTATTTTTTCCTTGAGTTCAGTTGAACAGGCTCCAATGACGCTATCTTGTGCCTTGATTACGTATTTATCACCAGGATTGAATGATTGATAAACTTTATGATTATATTCATCAACTAAAGCACTTTGAATGAATAAACGTGGGGCGTCTCTGGGACACATATTCTCTTCAACGCATCTCTCTTTCAGTTATTTAAGATCACTAGGAGTATGATTACCTTCACGAAGTCGATTGAGAATCTCTGCGAAAATCTTGCTTTCTCTCTGTCTCATGATTTCATCGAGCTCAAACAGTTTAAAATATTTCCTCCATAAGTTTGGGGCAAGAATATCGTAAGAATTTAAGCACTGAACATCTGTGAATATATAACTATCCATTACAGGCTTCAGTTGAAATAAATCACCTATTGTGATTATACTGACACCGCCGAAATCTTCTTTGCTACCTTTTAAATCTTTCAAACGGTTGTTCAATTGAATGGTGAACATACTGTTGCCAACCATTGATATTTCATCAAGTAATATTAACTTTAATGAACCCAGTTCCAGTCTCATCGTGTTTAATCTGCCAGAATCCAATGGTTTATAATTTTTTAGAGACTGACTAGCTGGAATGCGCAAGGCACTGTGAATCGTGTTACCTTTTATAAGATATGCAGCTTTTCCTGTCGGAGCAAGCAATAATATATGAATACGATGAAAATCGTCCCCTGCTCGTGAATTGTAATACTTCAATGCTGCCTGGTATATCGATTTAATAAGGTGAGACTTTCCAACACCTCCACTTCCACTGAGGAATGCGTAAAATGGTTTATCTGATGTTTTTATCAAATGCAGAGCATGATAGAAAACTCTCTTTGTTTCTTATTCAGCATCTGAACTAAAGCTCGATATTCGTTATCTTGCATTTCATTTAAGATGAGCGGTTCATTATTTGGTAAAGAAGACGGTATACCCAAATTTTCTGCAAGATGATCAAAAGTTTCGTTTAAATCTGGATGTGTGTCCACGCATCCTTGGTCCTGATCATGTCGTTCAACATCTTGTGTCACAGGTGCTATTGTATCAAAAGCATCATCACATTCGTCAAAATTATGTCCAATTTCATTTAAATCTTCGTTACAAACAGCATATTGCTCCATTTGCTTATTTATTTCATCATATCGAGCTAAATAGTGCTCCTCAAAAGAAGAATAATTTCTCAACAAATCGGTTTGCTCATTTCGCCAAGGAGTAAATAGCATAATTAACTCCCGATAATGTTTTTCAGGTTGTGCCTCTTTATTAAACCAGACACTTCGGATTACTCTAGATCGAGATCTTTTCTTTACATTTTTACTTCCAGAAGCTTTTACCATTTGAAGATTTTCGTCATTTGGTAATTCATCGTTATTATCTTCATCATCATTTTCTAATGGAAGTTTATCAACATCAGACTTGTTTGTTTTTCTATATGTCTGTTGACCACAAGAGTCGTACCATGCTGCCCAATCAGCTAGTGTCACACTTTGCAAACAATCAGGTCGTTCTATATATCTTTTTAAAAGACCTCCAGACTGAATTTCTTCCGATTCATCAGCCATTTTCTCTATTTCACTCAACGGTTTAAGCAATTCGACTCTTTCAGAAGGAGGAGATGTATTAATGAAAATTACATTACGTGAAGATTTTCGCATTGGAAGTTGCAGAACAACATACACAGCTTCTTGTGCACTTATTTCGACAGCGTTCAAAAATTTGTTGCCAATATCACGAACTTGCTGTTTGATATTAGTATTCCCTTCTTTTGCTTCAGCACAAGCTTTACGAAGTAATTCACTCATTCCTTTTTGACCTTTGGAAATATATGATACAATATACATTGCACATGCATATACATCTAAGACATATTGAATGTCCATGTTTGCTCGCCATGCTCGAAGACAAACAGGATTGTAATTATTAATCCTTAACTCATTTGGACTTCTTTTCAAAAAGATTGTTGGAGTATTCAAAGATGATCGTATAGCAAGGATATACTGACGTTCTGAAACATCTAAATCTTGTAGTAGTTCATCACAGGTAATGTCTTTACCTTCCTTGAAATCATTTAGTTTACTTTTAATATTTTTCCACAATTCTTTGCTGGCTTTAGCAGCAGTCGAAGAAGTATCTTCATCAAGTGGATAAAGAATCTGAGTACATCTCATTGGTGGTTGTGGATAGTTGAATCTACAAATATTTTTAGACTTTTTCCTGCAAGTATGAGAATGCCTGTGTGTCTGTCTATTTACAAGATCGAGTATTTCCAAATCATCTTCTGGTTTGTTACAGGTAATTATGCTGTCAATATAAGCAACAACATCTTCATCTTTATCAACACCAAACACTGGTGCATTTTCAAGCCATATCAACATATGAATATGAGGTGACCCTCGGTGTTGGTACTTAACTCTATAAAACCAATCTTTAATTTTTCCTAATGGGGCAAGTTTGCCCATTAAGACATCTTTTAAGAAAGTATTGAACTGAAAATCAAAATGTCTTGCACAGGTTACTGGGTCACTTTGAATCAGTCGACACCTTTCCTCCCAAGTGAGATTGTTCAATTCTTCATCACTAAATTCCTTGTGATCAATAAGTTTACCGAGAATTCTTAATAAGTGATTCCATTTTGTTTCTGCTGATGAGAAACTGCAAAATAATGATGCTGGTCCCAACTGGCGAATCATAGCAAACAAGTCCTTTTTGGCTCGTTCAAAATAAGGCAGTGAACCCCTGAGAGTTTTCATAAATCTGAAACCATCATCATGGTTTATTAAACTTTGTAAACCTTCTGTAGTTTTTAGGTCTCCAGCAGTAAGTGTTCTGTTACCTATTTTGTTTTTTCGGAGAGCAACCTGTGACTGACCAATCAAAAATTTCATTTGTAATTTTTTAGCTTTGAAGAATATATTTTCAACACACATGGCAGCTCGTCGATCAGATCTTCTTAACTCAGATTTACATATTTCACTATAGTAAACACTTCTTAACCTTTGTTTATCATCTGGTCGTTTTTGTCCGAGAAATATTCCTGGATATGCCATTTCTTCAGAATACTGATCTCTAAATATACTCAATGGTCTATTACCTTCACCAGGTGCAACATTATAAATTTCCTGTCTTTCACTATCACTGACAAAATCTGGTGGAGTCAACATATTGTCGGTTACTCCAGCCGGTATCTCATCTTCACCTTCAGTCCATTCATCTTCTGGTGAGTTGGGTGTTGTTAAATCATCTGCACCATTTGATGTTCCAATACTATCATGATTTGGCAACAATATAAATCATTAAGGAACTCTACGAATAATGAAATTAAAAAGGTGAAAAGTCAATATTTTACTGATAACCTTGAGACCAACCAGAACAATCCAAAGTCAACTTGGAAACTTATTAATGAATTAAGCTCTCGTAATAATTCTAGTCATAAGACCATATCTAATATTACAATTGGCGAAGAAACAATAAATGCGCCTAAGGACATAGCCGAAATGTTTAATTCTCACTTTGCAAAAGTAGGTGAGAATTTAGCATCTGATATACCACCATCTGCTGTGGAACCGGAGGTTTATATTGAGCCAACTGAAACCACATTCTCATTGACACCCCCCACAATAAATACAGTTTGTAGTAAATTAAGAACGATTAACGAAAAGAAAGCATCAGGTCTGGATAAAATACCCTGCAAACTTTTAAAACTTGCAGCTGAAATCGTTGCCCCATCATTAACTCTAATATTTGATAAGATTATAACTACTGGCATATTCCCAACGGAATGGAAGTTAGCAAGAGTTACGCCGATTTTTAAGAAAGGTAGAAAAGATGATATGGACAACTATCGACCAATATCCGTAATTTTATGCGTTGCTAAGATTTTTGAAAAACTGATTTTTGATCAGCTGTATGAGTATTTAAATGCTAATAATTTGATATCCAAAATTCAATCCGGTTTTCGATCATTGCACAGTACATTAACTGCCTTATTAGAAGCAACGGACAAATGGTCAATCAACATAGATAATGGCTTACTCAATGGAGTGGTCTTTATCGACCTCAAAAAAGCATTTGATACCATTGATCACACCATTCTCTTACGGAAGCTAAGAATATATGGTGTTGACCAAAGCGGCATCAAACTCTTTGAATCATATCTAAGCAACCGTGGCTAAAGATGTTGCGTAAATGGTGAATTATCTGAGGCTGTTAAAATAAGTTGTGGTGTGCCTCAAGGTAGCAACTTGGGGCCACTATTGTTTTTAATTTACATTAACGATTTGCCTAATTGTCTGGAAAGAGCCTCTCCGAGAATGTTTGCTGATGATACTAATATAAGTATTGCGGCAAAATCTGTAACAGAGCTTGAATCAATAATTAACTCTGAATTGAAAAATCTTAATCAATGGCTCATAGCTAACAAACTGAGTCTAAATGTCGCTAAAACGGAATTTATGATAATTGGATCTCGTCAACGGTTAATGATACACAATAATGAACAAATAAACATTGAAATTGACGGGAAGATAATCAAGAGAGTTAAAGATACGAAATCATTAGGATTACAAATTGACGAGCACCTAGTATGGGCGCGACACGTTGAAGGCATTTCCAAAAAGGTTGCGTCGGCAATTGGTGCTCTTAAAAGGATACGCCAGTTCATAGATACAAGCACTGCCCTCAAAATTTACGGAGCTTTGATTCAACCGTATTTTGATTATTGTAGTTCAGTTTGGGATGGTTTAAATATCACGTTAAATGATAAATTGCAAAAACTGCAAAATAGAGCAGGGAGGGTAATTACCAAATCTGGATACGATGCAAGTTCCAGCGACCTTTTCACTAAACTAGGTTGGGACAATCTTTCGACACGCCGGAAAAAACACAAGGCTGAAATAATGTTCAAAATTCTTAACGATTTAACACCGAATTATCTCCGTAATTTATTTGAATTCCACAGCACAGGATACAATTTGAGAAACTCTGAAAATGCTTTATTTGTACCAAAACCGCGAACAAATTATGCTAATCGAAGTTTTAGTTATAGTGGCGCGGTGTTGTGGAATGAGTTACCTCAAAATGTACGAGCATTATGCTCTCTTAACCAATTTAAAAGGGAGATTGACAACATTTTTTCCCTATAAAACAGACTCTCGCACGGCAATCTTGTAAATCAGTTTATATATCTGTATTTTAAATTGTATTGTATTGTGTTGTATTTAGTAATTTTGTCCCTAAATATCTAATGAATGTATATAATTATAGCCCACTTTTTATACTGTAGATTTTACCGTGCTTAAATAAAGTTTTGATTGATTGATTGATTGATCCATTGACTCTTGTAAACTTCTCAACCAATTCTCATTGATAATGATGCCTTGATCTTCATACAAAGGACTTGTGTTAATCAACCATGCAGCTGCTTGCATTACTTTGTGAGGTCTTATATTCATTGAAAGCGCAGAACTTTTGTATTGTAATCTTCGTTTAAGTTGAACTTTAATAGTACCTGTCTCATCTGATAATCTAGGAAGCACATTTACTGTGCTGTTTACATCTGCTGGAACATTGACAACATTACCAGTAATCTTGAGTTGACCACCCCTTGGGGCCTGAAAAATCTTTTGAAATGCCAGTCGAGGAGCAATAAGTCGACATTCTAGTTCATTCAGATCAAAGAAAGATGGTTTTTCTGGAAATTTCATGCCATTGGCAATTGCACAAGGGGGAACTTTCCCTTTCATTAAGTAATTGTTACAGGTTTGACAAACCCATTCAATGTTATCAACACTTTTTATATTTTGCAGATACTTGATTATATCAGGACTGACCATTTTTACTCTGTCTGCAGGGGAGACAGAATGTTTATACCATAATTGATCACAGCAAGTGCAAACATACAAAGGTCCTCTAGATACAGAATTATGAAACTTTTTAACAAGTGCAAATGTATCAATATTTTCACTGGGGAGGTAATTTACAGCATCAGCTGTAACAATTCTCACTGAATGCGATTTGTTACCTTTTGTCTCGTACTGCTTTGCAGAGTGATTTTGTTTTCTACAAGCTCTTTTTCGTTCATTATTTTTTGCAAGTCTAGCTTCCTTTTGCTGAATGGTCTCATTATTTAATTTTTCTTTTCTTGATTTATCATATTCTCTTCTTTTTGCAAGTCTAGCTTCTCTTTGCTCCGTTGACTTATTTAGTATTCTAGAATTATTATAATCTCTCATTTTTGCAAGTCTAGCTTCTCTTTGCTCTGTTGACTCTTTTAGTATTCTAGAATTATTATAATCTCTCATTTTTGCAAGTCTAGCTTCTCTTTTCTCTGTTGACTCATTCTGTCTTTTTGTTCTTTTGTGATTATTACACTTACTGATTTTTCAAGTCTAGCTTCACTTTCTTCAGTTGACTCATTAGTTTGTACCCTTTCTCTAAATGTTTGAATATTCCTTTTGTTGTTCAGTTCTTGTGTGTTTACACTATGTTGTTCAAATAGCTCAGCAGAACCTACATCAACCATACCACAATTTGTACTGTTTTCTGTAGACAATACTGTTTCCATATCATGATTATGGATGCACTTTACACCCTTTAACTCAAATGGTAATACAATACTTGCTTTATTGGACATTGATGTTAATCGAAAATACTCTCCAAGATTTTCTATTCCTTCCACTGATATTAAAACACAATAACCCAGTGCAGATGGTTTACCTGATAGATCTCTTGAATGTGAATCAAACACTTTAAACACACCAGGAAAAGGCATGATGATTGCCACAGTGTTCATACCAATTGTAAGTAAACAACTTTTATAGTTTAATGAATAAAATATTTCATTTAAAGCATGCTCAAGTGTCACAAATGGGAGACTATTTTCACTCATGTATAATGCTCCTGAAAAGGAATCACTGTATTGCAAATTAAAGGTATGATTGTCTATGTCAACAAACTCAGGGACATCAGTTAATAATAAATAACTCCTATTCATACTTTGACTGATAACACAATACAAACTGTTTCCACTTATTAAAACTGTGTTTAGAATTGATCTATCCCAAATATTGACTGATTTAATTTCTTTGTAAACAATTGCATATAATGACATGGCTACACACTGTTTACCAGCACTCATACCAAACATTAAATCATTACCTTGATTAAAATCTGCATGAATTGTACAGGCAGGATCAACTAAATCATTTAAAGTTCTAGGACCAGGATTTTCCTCTACATCATTTGAGAGTCTTAGCAATAATGGCACATAAACATCATGATAGTATATGATTTGAACATACCAAAAGCACAATTCACTAATCTTTTGGCTCTTATTCAATTGGCTTTTGAAATAAGGCAAGCAGAATACATTGAAATAAAACATTAATAGTATTTGATTCCAAAGTTTACCTTTAAGACGGCACATACTGTTGCGACGGTCTGTAAAATTGTGGTGTGAACCAATCCTGGAGCGATAAACTTCAATAGTGACACCCATATTTGTGGCCTAGAACTCAAAACCAATTGTCAATTGTCGAGTTAATTTAGATATTACTGATGATTTTTATTTGTCAGTATATTCGTCAGTAATGTACCTGCAAGTCAGCAAGCAGTCAGCAGTGTTATTTTGTTTGAATATAGCAGCAGTTGTGGCTGTTAATTGTTTTATATACCCGCACAATGGCTGGGTTCAAATTTCAATACCCGCACAATGGCTGGGTTCAATTTCAATACCTGCACAATGGCTAGGTTCACTTTTGGTACGTGGCCTTTCACGTAAATAGTACCAGGGCCGGATTAACCTTTCGCGGGGCCCGTGGCATTTTTTCAGTGCGGGGCCCCTCAATCCCGTAAAAAGCATCAAAGCCTTTACTCACCGGCCACAGAATTTTTGGGGCTCGGGTAAAATTCTCGTTAGGGGAGTAAAATCCGCAAAAAAATAGCAATTTGTGCTAGTGTAGCGAGATAATGCATGACCAGAACATTGGTGTATAAACTTGAATTTTGGGGGCTATAGCAGTGTTAGGGAGGTTTGGGGGCATCCTCTCCCAAGAACATTTTGAGTTTTAGAGTGCAGCAAATGCGATTTCCTGCGTTTTGGGGGTGAGATTTCCACAAAATCGAGTATAATATTGCATTACCTAAACTACATATAAACAACCTAAGATGTTTTCTAAAAGAGGACTATATATTCCAACAACATGCAGTTTAATTCTATTCTTGTAGGTTTTGGGGGACCCTTACAACCCTGGGCTCAGGGCTAATTTCCCCCTTTGACCACCCCTCTGGGTGGCTCTGCCTTTACTTGAAGTTTTAAATTTCTAAATTTTCCCATTACCCTAAAATTTTCTTAGAAGAATCTGTTGAGAGAACAATCATATAACATCCGGTGAACTTTAATACCGGATATGACCTTTCATTAAATTAGCGAATCATAAGATACTTGAACTATTACGTCATAAACGCATGTTGAACGTTTTTACACAGATACATATTTATTTTTTACTCGTTGTTGTTACCAATATATTGATATTATTCTTTGGTGTAATAAATGTAAAAAGAGAAACGATGTCTCTTCATTCAATACACTCAACAGGTTATGGGCCCAGGAGGCTTTACTTTAATGGAGATACTATACAATTTGGGAGACACGATTCATCAACTATTTATATACACTAGACAAAGGCGTACACAAAGCCATTTTACCCCAAGTTGAGGAGGAAGAAAACGACCGAGATTTCGACGAAAAGAATAGACGAGCCTATGCCGAGTTGGTACAAACACTGGATGAACGTTCGCTACAACTAATAATGCACGATGCTACAAATAATGGACGAGAAGCGTTGAAAATCCTACGCAGCCACTACGCCAGCGCCGAGAAACCACGAGTACTCACGCTATATGAAGAGTTGACAACACTCCGTATGTCTGTACATGAAGACATCACTGATTACATTATCAGAGCTGAAAAAGCAGCTACAGGATTAAAATCAGCAGGTGAGACAATTAGTGACAATCTTATTATCGCCATGCTTTTGAAAGGTTTACCCGAAGCATACACGTCATTTGTTGTGGTACACACACAGTTAGACAAAGTAAAAACACTGACTGAATTCAAAGCCGCACTACACAACTATTCCAACACCGAAGCCAGCCGCTCTGCTTCAGCCCAAGCGCCATCATCTGCTATGTTCTCATCCAATGATAATAAATCCGGTCCAACTAAATCATCGAAAAACCAGCAAACTTGTAATTCGTGTGGAAAAACAAATCACCATCACGAAACTGCAGAGTAAAATCCAAATTGAAATGTACTTTTTGTGACAAACCAGGGCACGTAGAAAGTGTCTGTTTTCAAAAGAAAAGAGACGGTGCAAACAAACAAAACACGGCCAGCAACGTATCATTCTCTTTCTCGTTGAGTGATAAAATCATGTTCAGCAGCGCACACAGACCTCATTCCCTACTTGTTGATTGTGGCGCAACGTATCATATTGTGAACGACCCAAATAGCATGATAGCATACGACGATTCTTTCGATCCAAGTCAACACTACATCGAGCTCGCTAATGGTCATCGTAGCAACACCATCGTTACAGCGAAAGGTACAGCCAAGTTCACTATCCTTAGTTCCACCGGCCAACATATCGACATTATGCTCAAGAACGCATTGCTCGCACCAACCTTTCCAGTGAGTCTGTTCTCAGTACGAGCAGCAACTGATGCGAACGCAACGGTCGTCTTCACCAAAGATACAGCTAAACTCATCACCAACCATACTCGATTCGACATCCACAAACGAGGTCGCCTGTACTACCTACCACAATTACGAATGACACAGCTAGCACAACCAGATCCCTTGCTGACTGGCAAAAAACTCTTGGCCACATGAATCATGAGGACATTCTCAAACTAGAGTCTGCCACCCGAGGAATGAAGATCACAGACCCAAAAGGCAAACAACCGTGCAACACATGCAATGAGCATAAGATGACAAAGCTACCAAAGTCCCATGATGATCCTCCCGTGCACGCTATCCTATAAACACACACCACTTTTACTCACTTCTTATCTTCATGTTTCTTTTACACAAAGCCAACCCTGCTCCCCGCTGACGAGTCCGCAAAAGGATGAAACGCCGCGTACGGGGATACTGATTCGCACGCTTGACTATCTTGTCTTTTGTCTTACCTTTTTACCTACTTCCTCACATAACTTTGATTTGAACAGCACCAACAACACTACACAACCTATTACTACACACATAACGACATAGGTTCTTCAGGAACTCCATCATACACAAACAAAACCCTTTTACAAAAATTTCATTTCAAACACACCACATTGTTGGCGGTTGTCCAACAACATTCCATCAACCCCATCTGGTTATTTTTATTTCTATTTCTACACCCCTTAATTCGCAATTAACTAATCAACAAATCACTTATTTTGTTCCCTTTTTGCCCACATATACATAACGTCCTAACCTTAACGTCCTAACGCTGGTTTAATTCAGACAATTGTTACAAATTAACCTATAACTATATAAGAACTACAATTTGGTTCCAATTACCTATGTCAAAAAATAAAATAAAAAAAGTTTTTAGGACCCGGGATATTTTACTACCCACTGATGACGACATTGCATTGTAATTCCTCACCGAAGTCCAAAACAACTCGACCATACTTGTTTTAACTCATGACTACGGTGATATAATAAAATGTAACTTGAACAACAATAACGAACCGTACTACATGAAGTACACCATACGAACAAAACACAATTAAACCTCGATGTCCACACACAACCATAATTGACACGTAAACCCCACTATCTCCCACACAGACTTTGACACCTGACCCCAGTGACGTAACATACTAACGCATTTTATGCAGACACGTGTAATCCCTGACCCCTTTTCGATCAAGCTTCTTGAACGGATACAAGCTCTGCTGTCAAGCAATTTTTTACACGAATTTTGATAAAATTCCACACGGTCTCACAACTTTAATCATTAAGATGGCTCATCGCGTTGGTCTATCGAAGTACAACAACAACTTTGGTAAGACACACAGTTTAAATTTTCTATTTTACCCCTTACGAATACACTTTCACGCAGTCTTGATCCTTTATGATTCTCCTATAAACACACACCACTTTTACTCACTTCTTATCTTCATGGTTCTTCTACACAAAGCCAACCCTGCTCCCCGCTGACGAGTCCGCAAAAGGATGAAACGCCGCGTACGGGGATACTGATTCGCACGCTTGCCTTTCTTGTCTTCTGTTTTACTTTTCTACCTACCTCCTTACATTACCTTGACTTAACACCACCAATAACGCTACACAACCTATTACTACAAACGCAACTACATAGTTTCTTGAAGAACTCCATCATACACAAACAAAACCCTTTTTTACAAAATTTTATTTCAAACACACCACATGGTTGGCAGTTGTCCAACAAATTCCAAACTACCCTGGTTATTTTTATTTATTTCTACGCCCCCCAATTCGCAATTAACTATTCAACGAATTACTCATTATGTTCCCCTTTAGCCCACATACACATAACGTTCTATTTTTTCCTCTAGTTTGTTTAATTCAGACAATTGTTACAAATTAACTTATAACTATATGAGAACTACAATATGGTTCCAATTACCTATGTCAAAATATAAAATAAACATTATAGTACCCAACCTCGTACCCAGGGTCTTTTCTCTGTGCTCACTCTGGGGGGAACACCCGCTGAGAAAAGACCCTGGTATTGTTTGGTCACGTGTCTCCCAGATTCTGGGAGGTTACAAAAAAATTTTACAAGGGGCGGGTGGCTGAGTATTATTATGATTTAAGCGAACTTTTGTTCGAAGTTTCGAACTGCGAGTATAATGCGAGTTGAATAATACGGAGATATGAACTCTGTTATATTTGCATTATTAAGCTGTGCATCGCGGCAACATATCAAGTTTCATATCAAATTTCATAAGCAGAAGCACATGTTTCGGGTGACAAAAGCCAAAAAGTCTTTTATCCCGATGGCTTCGAAGGAAACACCGAAAAAAATTTATCGAGCAAGAAATTCTTCGATTGACCCGTTGTCCTGTAGACTTTGTCGATCTATTGGTGACGCGAATCATCGCAAAAATTTATTTAGTACACTAAACGAAGAATTATTGAGGACTGTAGAGCAATTGTGCGGCCATCCGTTGTTGCGAGATCCAAGTTTGCCTCATCTGTTGTGTCGACCATGCGAGCGCAGACTAAAGCACATTAAAGAATTTCGAGAAGTTGTAAGAAAAACACAGAACGAATTTCGCCAGCAACAACCTTGTGAAACAAGAGTGAAACGGTGCCTAGAAGCCTCACCGTCGGCATCCCAACCCAGATATGTAGCACCTCTCGCAAGATCTAACCTGATTGGCTAAAATGAGATTTCGGGTTTCAAGGGTTTCGAACCAATCATAGAATAGAATTTAGAATTTTAATTATATTTGTTAATTTCCGGAAGTCAATATGCCTGTCATGGCGCAATGCGATGTATGAAAAAATACTCGTATATATACGTTTACTTTCTGGTTTTTGCTTGTTTTTAATAGTTATTAATTGCTCTGAGTTTTGTAAAGTAGACTCTGCTGTGATAATGCGCTTCTTCAATCATTCTGGCGACCGACAACAACAGCGATATAATTTGAAACCATGATATTGAAGGACAAGCAATGGAGGTAAGATTCCCGTATTTTTGCATATTTGCGGACAGCAGTTATACGTGTACCTCAAGGACATACTTATATAAGTTATATAAACGTTTTATGCATGCAACAAAGTGTTTAACCGTGATAGTTTCGACCAAAGGTAGCTTTTGTAGCGTTGTATATTTATACGGCAAATATCTTCGAGACTATCTATTATTAATATCCCAAAAATTATAAATTACAACTTGCTGTTTTATACTTTATATGACATCGTTGAAAATATCAATTCCAAATTCAAAAAAAATTAATACTGACACTATAGCACAATCTAGCACAATAAAACGGCAGGAGAATGAATGACAAGAGTACGAAACTACCAGAAATCATCTGGCACTGTCAGTTTTAATATACAAATGTTTTTTTATGCGCAATCGTTGCACTGCCATGGTTCTTCTTCCATTGGTAGTGCTGTTAACTTTACACATTCCCTATAAGAAGATATTTTGTAGGTTATAGAAAACGATTTTATTAGTTATGTAATATCAATTTAAAAGTCTTCTGAAATATTTTTTCGGCACGTTGACTAGTGTGGGGTAACAATTTTAAATTGGGTCTCTCCCCGAAGCAATATATGTTGGAAAAATATTTTCTTTAATTTGGAAGACTATTCCATAGAGTTACGATGAGTGTATTGATTGTATTTTGTGAAATTGATATTTCAATAACATATTGCTACTTACAAATGAAACCATTTATCGCAGCCATCACACTGTACCCACTGATTAGACCAATCTTTTGTTGGACTTACTAGGCCACATGCTTGGCAGTGCTCTGTTGTTGGGGAGCTTTTTGAAATGTTCTGCCTGACTGCAAGGTATTTTTTGAGTAAAAATTCTATTTTATTAATTTTACATTACCAGTATATAAGCTTTTACATATAGTTAATAATATTATTTGCATATTGTACCTCTTCTTGTTTGAACTCCGACTGTCCCCTCTGCAAACAGCCGTTTCTTGGCCTTATCTAAGTGTGTGTACAAGTGAAGATTGGTTATTTATTATTGTAAATATTTAAAGGCAGTGAGATTGCAAAATATTTATTGCATATGAAAATTTTGTTTTATTTTTATATTGCGTTTTAATACGTCTAAATCACTTGCCTTTTGTAGTTTTTGGGTTAGGGTCTGTCTCTTCTTCAAAGGTTGAGAGCTTTATCCCAGCTTGGACACCCTATAAAGAAGCATTTCAAATTATCCTAACTCCTAAGTATTGTGTAGGAATTGTCAAGCAGGGCTGTATTAACACTATACAGAATTTACCTATACTAGAATTTACCTTTTGAAATACTTCTTTTCTATTTGGTGTTAGTGTTGTCCACCATTTTGCTGTGTTTGGCGATAAGAAGGACTATATAGTTTTAAAAGTGAGACATGATAATATAATAAGTACCAGGTAAATTAGATATATAGATAATAAGGTAATTAATTCAATTGAATGTTCTAAGAGTAGTGAGGATTTCATGGGGTTTTTTTTATGTTTTAATTAATTTTTTTCTATACATGATTTTCCTGTTAGAAATTAGAGTATTCAAGAAATTGTTAACCAAGCCACTTACAGGGGCAGGCTCATTTTCTCTTTCTGGTTCATTGGTGCTACCACACAAGGTGTTTACAAAATCTAAATATAAATAATAAATTAATTACCTGCAGTATGTGTGTACACACTACAAACACACTACAAAATCTCATCCATTACACGTTAAGAAATGATAATGAATTATATTAATAATTAATGGCAACTAATTATAGAACTATGCAAGACATGGTTCATGTCCATCTCATTTGGATGTAATATGGTATATATGGACAGGAGGCAAGAACTAAAATCATCTCTACACTCATACAAGTTTTATGATTAAATATTAATACCTTTTCCTAGATTAATCAGCCTTTCTTCTACATTATTTAATTCCTCCTCTTCTTCTTCAGTTATTGCCTGATCTGATGTTGCTTTATCCCCAGAATCTTCACTTTCATGAATTGGCCATTCAAGATTGAATTTATCTGCTCATAATAAATGATATGCAGGGAATCAAAGATATTTTCCATTTTCATTTAAGATTTTGTAAGTTTCCCTTGAAATGACATCCCAAACACTCTATTATTCACTATTTGTGCACTAAAGAGCATTATAGCATATATGACATATTTACCATTAATTATGTGCAGTGCTTCTGGTTTTATCACTGCAATTGGAATTTTCCAACCTTTGGCCATCTTGCATTTCTCCTCGTTTCGTTTTTTTATGTCTGTTATAGTACAGTCATCCTGAACAGCAAACATCATTGATGTGCTTGATGTTTTATCTGACATACTCTTCAGAAATGCTGAAACATCCTGTGTGACAGATGGTACATTAAACAGTGTATACAGATTCGCATTAAAAATAAAAATGTAAAACAGGTATGTTCTTTATTCTTAGGGGATTTCAATTTATTGCAAAGTGTTGCGTGATCACTTTCTTTTCATATGGGTTCACAATCAAGGTCATTAGGTGCACTTAATTAATGTACACAGGACTATCTTATGACAACATACCTTGCTTTTTAGATTGATAAACGTGTCCAGAACAGACGATTTTATTCCTATTGCTGGGCCATATTGTTGGTTAACGGGAACAGTCGTTAATGGGTTAAGCCATTTCATAACCTGAGAAAAACGATAATTAGTTATAAATTCGATATTGTATGAGCAACCTCTAGGCTGAATTTGAATGAATGAAATTTTTGGCTCGATTTTCTTTTCCATTGTGACTGGTCAAGGTATTCCGCTACGGTTGAATTCTCACAATAGAAAAGAAAATTCGACCTAGTGGAAAACTGCCCTAATGACAAGTGCCTGCAAAGCCAATAGGTACACGAACGTAAAGTAATAATTAGCTCGTGAAAACCACATCGTTTGGTTGCATCAATGGTATTTCACTGCCAAATTGGTCGAAATTTAGTTAGTTATTATCAATTGAATTTATTCAATTACGTACATTTTCGTCATCCCTCGTCAGTCTTTCCATCAGGCATGTATTTAATTTTTCCAATAAATCTGGGCCATCATTGCCCTTTTCCACAGCCATATCTTGAATCAGTTTCATAATTGCATCCTTGCATCGTGGTTTTATGCCTACAGATGTTTCAAACTGAAAAAGAACATCATATTGGAGAGGGAAAATCAACATAAAAGGAATTTGTCAGTGTCTTGTTTCCTGGCGAAAGATACCTGTTCAAACAGGTAATACAATTTTAGTACCGAGAATGCACTCCGTTCCTCTGACTGGAAGGCGTACGTAGGTGCGATTCTTGTCAGACGATCGAGCGCATGTCCTAACCCTAGCGTCTACACATTTTTGGTCGAAAGGTGAACGTACTATCGCATATGTTGCTATAATAGCTGAAGCCCTTGTTGCCATCTGTCTTGAATTTTGGGCGGAACTAATCGTGACAAAATTTTTTCCACCAGGGTGGAAATTGTCGGGAATTGCTGTTGCAAAAAGGAAACATTCTGATCACCCATGCTAGTAGAAACCCCTATATAAGTAAAGGTAAAAATAAAATAAATTGAATATCCTGTGGCGAAAATCTTACGAACACACGATAACTTCAGATAACATTATACCGTGTGAATTTCAGCTATTGATCCAATGCCGGCTTTAAGCTTTTGCCTGTCTTCTACCGAAAATGGCGTTTTTCGGTATTTTAGCACAATGATCCTCCCATCGGCTCTGAAAATGTTAATATTTTCACAGTATATATAGGAATTCCGTAGACTTATATGCATGATATGTTTGTGCATGGATACGTTCCAATATAACTAGAGAGCAGCGTCTTCAAACAGCTTCTTATCAAATGTGGTATGACAACTGCCTAAAATATAGACAAAGCACCTCTCGACGTTTTGACCTAAGCCAGGGTCCTTGTCACGACGTAAGGGCGAGAAATGTTTTGTCTATTTTAGGCAGTTGTTATACCACATGTCATGCGAAATTTTATATAATATATATATATTATATATATATATATATATATATATATTATATATATTTGTATTCATGATCATGAACTATTCTATACGTACTTTGTTGCAAGGGTACAACTAAATACAAATTGATTCGTGCATGTCAATACTCTGATTTCTCTTACCTATTGAAAACATCGTTGTTAGAGGTCAAAAGCAAACTTCCTTGAGGTGCTGCTAATCCACCTGCTATCGACCCTGCAAAGAGCCCACTACCTGTTTGCAGGAGAAACTCTTCCATACCTGGCGTTATTATTGGATCGTCTATCATGACCACTACATTAGTTTGTGTCAAAATTTTTCGAATCATTGCCCTATAGAGCGCAAAATTGAAGCATAAATAGTAATGAGTAAATAGAGCATGTGTATAATGTTTAATTAAAACGTTTTACATTTTTTTGTTGATGAGGGATGCTTTTTCAGTTTATGTACTTCCCTAATAAATAGATGTTTGTTAACTGGACAGAATAATAGTATATTTTGACTTACACAGATGTTCCTGTTTTATTTTGATCTCCACCAGCCAGCAGTAAAGAATGCTGTCTACGATTAACACCCTGTGCCTTGGAAAGGATATCTAGGGTAAAGGATTTCCCGACATTTCGCTCTGCAATGGTGGAATGTAGCAGCAAGATTGAACTCTCGTCTATAATGAAATATGCGAGAAAACTCGAATTAACTCAATTCAACCGTGCATATGATTCAAACCTCGTACGCAAATGTCCTAGCACGAGTATTTAGAGAATTGACTTTTATAACGTCCTGTTTAAGAAAACCTTTATACCACTAGAAATTATGCCATAGATATAGTTGCATCAACGATTTCATGCATACACTAATTATATGCCAAGTTAAGATATTGAAAATTGCGTACCCCAATGGTTATTATCGCCTGTTCTTAAGAGACGAAGCAGAAGAAATGCTGTCGCTAACTTGAAGGCCATTGTATTTTCCTTGAACGCCAATGATTCCTCGATAAATCTATATGAAATGGATTGTGCTCAGATGGTTCACTAGCGAGCTTAGGATGCACCAAAGTCCAGATCTACGACGCGGACGTGACATAAAAACAGTTTTGGAAATTAGTTTTAGTTTTTTTCCGTATCATAAAACTGTATAGAATAATAGGTAAAACAATAGTTTCTCCTCATATACGCGTCGTAGATTTGCTGCATCTTATGTTTGCTACTATTTAACCCACCAATGGTGTTTAAACGACATCTTATACTTTGTTCTTCAAGGGAAGGAGATGTGAACTGGTGCAAATAATTACAATTTTAATCAACCTCACTATAATATTATATGTCTGTAGTATCTAACGCTATTATACTTCAGTCTCTCACGCGACGGTATATGTTTTACAATACAATTTTATGCATTATTTTTCAATTGGGGGGCATGCCTAAATTTCCCTAGAATTCTCGAAACGCCTACCCCCAATATTTCATGTGGGTCATATGACAGTGTCCGCCACTGTTTTAATCTGTGATTTTGAAATCGATTGTATTCGGAGTAAATTGTTGGTAAAAAATGAACAAACCTTTGGCATATTAGCAACAAATTTGAGCTGTCGCTTAATAATCGCTCCTCAAGGAAAAGCTCAAAATCCGTCAGATCCGTTTGGCTAAAATAGTGTTTCTTGTCTTCTTCCTTAAGAAACTGGCCATCATTGTTTATTTGTATCTGAAATGAAACAAACTATTATAGATACATAGTAATTATAATGGGATTTTTACATCGCTATGTACGCCACAGCAACATATAGCGCATGGATGTGAAGAAAGTAATGAAAAAAAAAACTTTGCGGTTGTCATGTCCGCGTGGATAACATAACTGTGCATGTATTTCGAAGATTAAGAAAAGAGGCAGGATTAACCAGTTGCAAGTGAACACGCACTGGGAGTTTTTAACAATGGCAATACCTGCATGCATGTCCCATTTATTTTTTGCGCAATTCTCAATGAAGATTTAAAAAAAAACGTTAATGCCCATACCTCCCTTGAAAGACACCAGTAGCCTGTCTCTTTTTGCCGTCCAATTAGCTCGACCCCGTAATACGCTTTGGGACTCCCTGCGTAGTATTCCTCTTTGAGGTAATTGTAATATGCCTCAATATCCCTCACGTTAGCATCACTTATGTTGAACAGGCCGCCACCGAATGCGTTTCTTGTTTTCTCGAGAAATTTCGGTTTTGAATCAAACGCACTGGCTGGTATCACAATTCTCCTGCGATGAACAAAGCATGCAATTTTAAACTAAAACCAAAAATAGTACAACCTCGAGACGAGAGCGAAGAGAGCTGTCAAAATTTTACGGGATAGGTTATACAGTAATATTACCTTTGCATTCAAAAACATTGGGTGAAATATCGTTACATCGGGTGATATGGTATGTATGAAAATGTCAGAACAGAACAGACCAATATAAAATATATACAAGAGAAGAATACGATATTGATATACCTTTGCTCGTACTGACCAAGAACCCGGGCCGTACATGAGCACACCCAGCTGCCACAACTCATTTCCCCCAAAAATTTAAGAGTGAAATCTCCAAATAACACCCAGCCCTCGCCATTTTTTATATACGTCTGGCCTTGCTTTTCTGCGAATAACTCGTGGAAAGACGTTTCTCCCCACTATAGAATTAAATAAAAACACCAGTTTTATATACTATGAAAAAACGAAACTGCTCAGTCAAATTTATAGATGTTTTCCAAATTTTGTTCTTTGGCAATAGAAAATACTTTGGCGAAATCGCCCGCTGGGCGGGGTACAGCTCCCTCCCTGCCTGCATCGCGACGCCACTGGTTTCTTTTCTACCGCTAACCTAACGGCTTATCATGCATGTATACATTAATTGTAATCGAAATTTTTAACTCACCTCTTCTTCATTATCCCTTGTCTCAGAATAAATGGAGTCTTCATCACTTTTTGGCGAGCTCATGATAAGCTAAGTAGATCTGTATATTACACCTGTCCTTGATTATTTTGTCTCTCGTCAGTGCACGGTCAGTGTGAGATTTGCTTCTATTGTGTTTTTGTGTTAGCTTGCACTTTACAAATATGCTGTGTTAGCAAGTCAAAAGTAACTTTGACAATCTGATTGTTCGATCTCCTCAACCAACCAAATGTGCTTAAAAATTGTTTTGATCGACGACATGAAAACAATGCATCATTTGTGTTTTGGTGTAACGTATCAGAACTCCAGGAAAAATTTATTTTAAATTGTTTTAGTCAGATTTGTATAGCTCCATTAAAAATGACAATGGCTTGCACTTTAAAAAGAAGCTGTGTTGGCAAAAAAATTTAAAGCTTCAAATGTATGTTAAAAACCACGAATTTAGTATGAGATATTAGTCACTTTTGTAGAAAACTGTAAAAACACTAATTAACTTTTCTTCATGTTATGGATTCGGATGTAAATATTTTGCTTTTAATCCCAATTTAAAAAAATGCTGTTTTAGCTAAAGCCATTGTTTTGGCTTGAACTTTGTAAATACGCCGCGTTGGCAAAAGTAAAAACAACTATGGCGTTCTATTGTTTGTCCAATCAAAACTTAAGGAAAGTCAAAAGTGCTGACAAGGGGTTACTAAATTGAACAATAGCTTAAACATGCATGATTACTTCATCAACTGTCAAACTTATAGTAAGAGCGTTGCGTTTTATACAATTTTTTCGTTGAGAAGTGATCGTATTTTATTGTAATATTATTTTATTGTAATATTTGGATATGGATTCGAAGGGAAGAAAACGTGGCAAAGGGCAGTGCCCGAAATGCAGTGCTGAGTATTTCAATCGCTATAAGCCCAAAGAGTGTTCGAGTTGCGGTGAATTTATTGGTGGATCGCATACGTCAGAAAAAAGACCCAAAACTGCGGTAAAAATTTCTAGCGCAGTCACCGTAACCCAATCAATTGTTTCAGTTGCGACAACTAAACGTGGAAACAGGTGTTTTGTTACAAAGGATGAAAGTGGTAATTGGATGTGTTTGAATAACAACTGCAAAGATAAACGTGCAATGCATGTTAGTTCTGGCGAAACAAAACAGTTTACCTGCGAACACATAAACGAGGCAGTAGATAAAAAAACAACTCCTTTGCAACAGATTTCCGTCAACAATGAATCGCTGACAACCTACCCATGTAGCAGCACCATTAGCGAGAGTCTTTCGCGAGCATGTCAGTTTGCAAAAGACAATGGTTTTGCGCCTGTTGTAAAAATTTCACACACCAAGTACGCGATTTACGCAGAGGCAACAGCCAGCAATCCACTTGGTTTTTGTCACGTTGACGTAACAAAAGAGGGTATGTCGTGTACTGGCAAAGATTGTCGTGGTTATATGGCGAAAGGAAAGCACAAAAAAGTGAAGTGTA